CGGGCGACAGAGGACTGGCTGACTCTGCGTTGTCTACCTTACGTCCGGCAGACTTCTCATCCCGAAAAGCGCCAACGTCGACGTTGGGTACTAGCCGTATCCCTTTTGCGAATACACAGCCTTCAACATTTCGCAACAAGAGATACTCGACTGGGGCAGAATCGACCACGTCGAGCGTGCTTCGCGATGGAGACGAGAATGCTACCGTGCACCCCTCATATACAACTCAGATGCGCCAGTCGGCCACATCCGCGTTAGGGACCCACGGAGCCGATCTTCGCAATGAGCGACCGTCAAATATGGGTTTTGTGCAACAACACAGAGCAAGCGACCATATCCACCAAAGTCCGGATTCGCCAGAGTTCGAAGGTAGCACCGCAGAAGTCCATGGGCGTCCGGCATACTGAGCGACGGATTGACCATGGGCCTTTGGCGGGCATTACGAAGTTCACGACCGTTTTGCAGAATAGATATTGTGCGGAGGGCTCTAGATGATTGGAGACAATCGTCTGGTGCGGAACTACGTCGAGGGTACACGAATCTGGCAGTCTTGTTGCAATCAGTGGTCAACAAGAGAACTGAGCCAGGGGCAATCAGAACTTTCGTGTTGGGCTTGTGGGAAAAACTACACTTTGGGTTTGATTTTTTGCCAGTTTGATGAGCGCGGCGTTCGGACCTGAGCATAAGGGAATGATGTATTAGGCCTATTCTTTGACACATATATGTAATTAATAGTGTCCCTGGTCTCTCTGTCTCTCCCCTGTCCGCGCAAGTGTTTTGCAGTGCCTCTGCGTTCAAGCTGTGGAAATTGGAGATTTAGGAATAGAGACCCCAGCCTGGGCGTATATCCTGTCCTTGTACGAACAACTTGACCTGCCTCTCGATTCTTCACCTCAGATTGATCCGCCTTTCCCACAACATCCTCAACAAGAAATCAGCATGGGCGGCAAAGAGAGATAGCACACTACCAAGCCAACTTTCCTGGATAGGCCGGAAGAAGACAAGTCGTCCTGTACTATGGTATCATCACCCTGCGCCCTCCTGAGGCTCTTGATGCTGAACTTTCGTTATGTGCCAGAGGATGTCTTCATCGGCCTTGGGACGTTCTAAAAGACAGCCACAGATCCTTGTCCCTACGCCCCTTTGCGCAAAAGCCTTCGCCCAGACGAATTCGACCAGTGCTGTATCATCATTCCGGTCTCCTGACTAGGGTGTGGGAGGCAAGTTGAGGAGGGCTGAGACACACTGGTGAGCGCCACCTTGGGCTATGACTACATGACTGTGGGATTGCCAACCACCATCATCAACCTTCGATATGACACAGCTGGCCCTGAAGGGGGTAGGCGTGGACACAGAACCCACGGCCTGTATAGGCATGGCCGATAAAGGCAGAACCTTCAAATGTGGACGTTTAGGTATCAAATGGCCTGGTAGCTTTGATGCTTTCACCATCTCGTGCACACTCCTCGTGCTGCACGGTCCCTGCACTTAGATCAGAGCGAGGGGTTGACAAATAACGATCGACCGGCAGAGAGCGACTCCGAGGAGTTCAACAAGCTACTTCAGGCACCTGTTGCCCTGACACACTGGACTTGCGGCCTATCTGGGACAAGGTTCGATCGACTCGCGAATGACATGCATGTTTTACAGGCTTTTTATCACCAGAAGATGGGGCTCCTCTCACCCATGCACGAGGCCTGAAGCCAAAAAGAGACAACTGACTTCTGTTTGAGGCCACGTCTGGCAGGTTTGGACCTTAAGGAAGAGATATTCCCCGCCGGTTCGAAGCTAGATCTGCCGAATGAGCAGACCCAATGCGTCGACGGTCTGGCGATGTGGATGGTGAATGCAGGCGCAGATTGGCCAGGAACAAACATGCGGTGTCGTTGTAACAACCACGCTGAGCGTGCAGGCTCTCGGCAAAAGACGACTTGTTCTACTCAGGAATTCAACGAGACTAGCATCCCACGCTCGGCCACAGGTCGGCATGTTCAATCCGGACGTCAGGAATGCGCCTGAACAAGAACATCTTCCCCAGGCACCGCGATACGAGATGGGTCTGGCGCATCCCAGTGCACACGCAAAGGGCCTGCCGTGCTATCCGCACCGCCTAGCAGAGCTGTTTGCAAATCACTTTGCCTGAATCCTTGTCTAGGGCATTTCCAAAATTCCCATGTCGAGCATATAAGAGTTTCGAGGGTCTTGGCCGAGCGGCCGGGGCAAGCCTCGTCCTCACTACCAACCGCCACCAATGCTTTGTGATTTACGTACATTCACCCAAACTCCTGGGGCAAGCGACCTTCTCATTGGCCCTGTAGGAATGTGGCCCTGGACCGCGGAGGCGGGCCTCGAAGCCGGTGTCAAAACTGCCAGGGATGGGCTCCCTCGCCTTGAAACTATTGATCAGCCGTGGGGATCTTCCTCGCCTAATACGAGCGACGAGTATCCAGTGACAGCGGGTGGCATGGGTAGCACAGGTGGCCCGTGCTCTTGTTGCAATCTTGAGACCATCCCCGGATCGCTGTTTGTGTCACCTCCGTCCACACATCTAGATGCACCAGAGGTTACACAGAGAGAATCTTAAGCTGACATGCCAAAGAAAACACACCCAAGATTCAAGAGAGAAAGGTGGCAAACAAGGCGTCCTTTGACGACTGTTCCCTCCGCGGGGTCCTCCGTTCTCTATGGAGCACTCGAAAAAAGTTACTTCTTCCTCCTGCCTCACTAGCCATCTCCTCTCCTGGACACACTCCTTCAGCTCAGCTGGCCTCAAAGGGGGTTGCGGGTCGCGGGTTGAAAGCAAAATCAAGGATTTGAGCTACGTTTTGAGATGGGCTCTTCCCTAATCGTACAATCCACCAAGCACCAAGCACGGAGGTGCTGGGCATACGGCACGGCTCGGACGACTTTGGAGACATTGCCACAGCTCGATCGAGCTAAGCTCGCCTCCTGATCGGTTCATCTTGTCGCACTCTTTCAGGATGGCGAAATCTTCACGGTTAGTATAGCCTATGCAAGCCACACAAGCCGCCGGCAAACGGCAACTTGGGCCTGCCAGCCGATGTTAATTCTCCTCTTCAGCTACGAAAGGGCCTTATGCAGTATAGCGGAGCTCGTTGAAGATGATGAAAACTCTCCGTCCACCAATGAATCGGCATATCTGGGCTATTCGGCGACCACGGCCATTAGCTTTACCTTCAAGCCCTGATCCCGTCGACTCGAAAGGATCGATCCAGTGCCCACCACTGTCTCGCTCGAGCAAGACAAGATCTGGGTTTCTCATCTCTCGTCTATCGGGCCCCCGCTGTTGCCATTGAGTGTCTACTCTAGGCGACCACTGTGGTTCTCAGCCGCTAATACAATCCATCCCACAGTCTGGTAGTGCAGGGAACCTAACACGGCCCGAATCCATCCTTTCATCCCTGTGGTTGCCGTCCAGTGCCCGTTCTGGGCCGGAGTATCGTAGCCATCTGGACCGAATCACCTCAGTGATGTCAAATACGTCGTTCTCGCCTTTTCTCTGTGGAAGGGCCAGGGAAGAGCCTGGAGCAATCGACGCATGGTGACATGGTCTCGAGGCTCGGAGAAAACTGCCGCCAGACTTGTTAGGCGAACATCCCACGAGGGATCTTTGCCATGTTGGACTTCCCAATTCATCTCATCATGTGCACTACTGTCCTGAACCAGCATCTCCGGACTAAATTATGCGAGGACCTAAAGGCCAAACATTTCTCACTTGTCTTATTCGCCGCCCCTGGCGGTGATATGGGCCGAACGAATGCAGAAGATGGAGACCCTCACCCTAGCAGCGTTGGTCAAAGGACGATAGCCACCCGGTCTCTGGGCCTTCGCTAAGTCTTCCCATTGCAAGCTTTTTTTGCCTTTCGTCAACTTGCATCTCGCTAGGCCTGCACCCCTGAGTGGACTCTAGCCGTATGTGGAATTGATACATGCATTGGTGTCGATTTGGCATAGTGGACGGCTGCACGCTATTGGGAAATGGCTAACCTAACACACCCTCCAGCATTGTCGTCCCTCTCTCAACTGCTTGCATCCCCATCCACCTCATGAGTTGCTGCATTTGAATGCTCTTTGGTGATTGGCACACAAGTCTGGAGCAAACAATACTGGGAACTCCGAACTGTGGCATCCAACCCCGGTTGGGATACTCCACCTTCCACCCTCCTTCAGCATTTTACATTTGCGTTTATTGTAAAGTTGTGCGAAGCGGGATCAACAGTCAGTCCCCTCTGAGGTCCCTGATTTCCATATTATACCTCGTGCCTGGACCCTGCCATGGTCTTGCAAACGATCGGATTCTCTGGCTATCACTTCGACGTTTGGACATCATATGTTAACGTTATTGTCACCAATGCCATGATATATTCTACAAACGTCTCAATCTTCACTCATTAGCTTCGAAGACGAGCCTCTGTCCCGCAGGTCACTGTCATTGAGCCGCTTGATATCCCAAGGCCACTGCATATCTGCTTCACAATACCAAGCTGTCTGCCAGTTGCACCGCAGACAATCATCATACCCCTTTGTCACGGCTGTTCGATCCGTTGAATGGCAAGGCAATAGGTGCATAAAACATGATGTTGACCGGCATCCCTAACACTCCAACTGTGTTCGTGCAGGCCCTTGGCCTCCCACAACCATCAGTGTTCAGTAAACGGCGGGCCAACTCATGCAAGCCCTGCCGTGACAGCAAATCAAGAGTACAGTGCATTCCCCAGGAATGTCGCAGTCTCCCTGCTAATCTATGGTTGCAGTGTTCTGGAGGCATGCCCTGTACGACGTGTCAAAAGAAGCGTGACAAGCCCGAATGCTTCTACCTCACTTCCTTTCCGAGGAATCAAGTTAGTCCCGGACAGCCATACAGACGACTGTCAGAGCACTGCTGACGAAGATGCTAGCCTAGACAAGTTCATGATACGGAGCACTCCCACGGAGAGGCGTTCGGCACCTGCCGTAGCGCCAAACAAGGGTCTGATAAGATGGGTGCGGTCGAAGGAGCCCGGGGGTTCGCAACTCCGCAGCAACACTTCTGTGGAAACCTCTCACTATCCAAGAGCATAGACGAAGTAATGTGGCCCTCCAACACAACGATGTCAAAAGGCTAACCCTCTATGCAGTTCAAGTCGTTACTGCCTACTAACGGACGGTTCCGCGAGATCTTAGACTCGATCCGGCCTGTCCAAGTCTTCAACTGGGAAGGTCACGCCAGTGACGATGACCCAACAACGAACCAGAGCCAAATGGCAGAAATAGATGATGACTTCGACATTGAAATCCCAGCACGGCTCGAGCCACTTTATATGAAATACAAAGCCGTACGGAATCTACTTGATGCGGGAAGGGCAACGCAAGCCTGGGCCGCTTTCCCAAGTCTCGTCCGTGATGCAGAAATTCTCGGTTGTAAGTGTTAATCAGATTCCTTTCGACTTGAAGTGGCTCATTGTGCTAACCTCTTCAGTGGACATGGATCCTGGCGCAGCCTCAGGTGAGGCTGATAAAAACTCACAACCAGGCCGTCATCTCTGTTGGCTCCTCATAGAACTCGACGTCCAACTCAGCTTTCTCCTGGGTCGCTGTCCCTTTATTGCTTCTTTCCATGGCATCCCCAGGCCGTCCCCAACAGCCTTGAGGCCGGAAGAACAGGACCTCCAGGAAAGACTCTATGACTTTTCACAGTACATGCTCGAAGTCCTGGAGCGCTTCAACCGGGGCAAAAATGACCCGCAAATATTGTCTTCCCAGGAGAGGGAGCCCAGGCTAGAAGCAGATCTAACTCGACTTTACCACCTGCAGTCGAAGCTACCGCCGGTGCCGCAAAACAACTCGTCTGACCCTTCACTGTCCATTGCAATTACCCAACATCACATCGACGTTCAACTTATGCTGATGGTGCTGCATTGTCAGATGCTCCGGGCGATGCGTAACCAACACACGTCGGCCAAGAGAGCCAAATACAGGGAGCTGTTGAAGTGTTCTCGGCTGATTACCGAGATGTTCGACTCCATCCATAGCCTCGACCCAACCAAGACGGCTTCATCCTGGCCGCGATGTTTTGGTGTCTTTTGCGCCGCTGTGATGTTGGGCATCGCCACCATCCGCCAAGAGGTCGGCGTGAGCATAGGTTCGAAGCGTGTAGAGCGGACCTTGAGCATCTTTAAAGATCTTGGGAAAGCTGGCCAGGCTACAGGAGTTGTTGACCTGGCCATCACATCCCTGGATTTGGTTGTCGAAAGAATCAAGGAGCTTGAGCACCCTCCTACCAGCGCCACTGGTATCAATCTTGGGCCGACCGTTACTTGTCCGACAACGCCTACCGGCGAGGTTACTCCTCCGGCCGCACCCCTGACCGATTTTGCGGCCAAAGTCAAGAGGAATGATGCGAACCTCAAACGTCGCAGAAGACCTAGCTTCGAGGGGAAACTGGGTGCCAACAAGCGACAAATGTTCGAGTTCAAGGATATTGCCCCGAGCCACCTAGAGCAGCGACGTGCAAGTTGGCATCCCGGGACTGACCATCATTATGCTCAGGCTATGGCGGCTTTCCATGACGCAGCTGCAAACAGCGTTCAAAATCGACCTGAGCAGGCGAGCTTCCAGCAGGACAAATGTCCGCCACCAGCAGTTTCCACCTCGTTCACGGCGAATGACCAAACAGCAATGTCCGCGGTGGGATATGGGACGACTCCTCTAGAGCAGTTCCACGAATTCCAGGCCGCTCATCACTGGGTTCATCCACCAATGATGTACCATCCGCCAATGTACGATGATTGGTGGCAAGCACAATTTACTCCTTATGATACCATGACCCCAGACCAGTCTCGACAAGTGTTTTTTGAGTCGCCGCTGGGTTTGCCCATGGACCAATCTCGGCATCTTGATACTACCCCGCGTGCCAATGAGCATGCTGGCTTTGCTCATCTCAAGCAAGACCAAGGCATCAATCACGATCCCGCCATGATGATTAATACCTCAATGGTACGCTCGTTTACCCAGGCAGTATAACTTGACACATTGGGTCAGGCAACGGCGATGCTGGTTGACATGAGTACTTGTATAGATGACTCCCACTAGCCTTGATCGCAGCGTGGATTCCTTGCACGAATGGTGGATGGGCTATTGGCCTCGTCCGAGCTACGTTTATTCTAGCGATGCAGATATGAGACATGCACAGACAGACACAAGAGTACAGAAAAGGAGGCTAACAATGGGCAAAGGGCTATGTGACCCAGGACAGCGTTGATATATATATGTGTAGCGAATGTACTATTACGGGATTTACATAGGTAGCTAGGTATTATGCACCAGTCTTGAAGTATTGTGTCAAGTTTCACATGCCTCTATTGAGCTGTATCTTGTCCGTGTACTGAGCACTTGTATAGACTTGGACATCAGTCCGCATGAGGAAGGCCCAAGCGAGTAGACCAATCACAGCTCTCGACATGGTTGGGCGACATACACCCCTCCGTCTTCGCCGTCCTCATGTACGCAGCCGCTCAACTCCTAACCTCCATACTACTTACGACTACATATTCTCCATATGCACCACGCTGTTTCCCTACCTTCCAGTGCAACCATGTGAACCGTCGCCATGTATCCGCCGTTTGATTACTTCGAGCACCGCCGGGCCTGGTCAGTTACCAATTTCTCACCTTTTCCCTTCCCCAAGCGGCCTGTTGGGATGTATCACATTGCATCAACTCTCGGATACTGACGTACTTCCAGCATAATCAAGCAGCGCCAGCGTGACGCTCGTTTCGAGTCTCTCCCAGACCCCTACAAAGGCCCGCTCACCTCCCAGCAGCGCTCTATCCTTAATGCCCCGATCGCGCAGCTCGTCCGCGACGTTCACAATGGCGCCCTTTCGCCGATTGACATTCTCCGCACCTACGGGAAGACCACCGCCGTGGCACAGCAGCGGACCAACTGCGTGACAGAGATCCTGTTGCCCGAGGCTGAATCGTGGGCAAAGGATGTGAACCTTCAGGGTCCGCTTGCGGGCATCCCTGTGTCCCTCAAGGATACCATCGCTGTAGCGGGCTTCGACGTTAGCGTGGGCTATTCGCGCCACGTCTTCAAACCATACAGCGAAGACGGCGTTATGGTGAAGCTCCTCAAGCGAGCTGGGGCCATTCCACACGCCAAAACTGCGCTGCCCATAACACTGTTGAGCTTCGAGAGTACGAATGATCTCTGGGGCGTCTGCAAGAACCCACACAATCCCAAATACTCGCCGGGCGGGAGTACGGGCGGCGAAGGCGCGCTGCTGGCCCTGAATGGATCGAGAATCGGAATCGGCTCGGACGTCGCGGGGTCGGTGCGTGCTCCCGCTGCGTGGTCGGGGATCAACTCTATACGTTGTTCAACTGGCAGATGGCCGAAGGTCGGTATGAATACTTCTATGCCTGGGCAGGAAGGTATACCTAGTGTCTTCTCTCCAATGGCCAGGACTTTAGACGATTTGATCTACTTCACGCGGGCGTTTATCGGCATGAAGCCCTGGGAAGTCGACTACACCGTGCACCCCATCCCATGGCGACAGGAACTGTACGATGAAGCGCTAGAGAAGAAACCGCTACGTATCGGCTTGATGACCACAGACGGCGTTTGCGCCCCCTCTCCAGCGATATCTCGTGGGTTGGAAATTACAGCGTCAGCGCTCCGCTCTGCTGGCCACCAAGTGGTTGAAATCCCGGTCTCTTCATATCCGCCCAATGCCACCCCCGCCCAAGGCTTACAGATCGCCAGCGTGCTGCTCTGCGCAGATGGCGGCAAGACCTTCCGATCATTTTTCCGCACGGGCGAGTCTAACGACCCAGGCGCCGCACAGATCAATTTCTACATGTCTCTGCCTCGACCTCTTAAATATCTGTGGTACCTCTTCACGCGCTATGTCCGTCGCGATTCAGTGTGGGCGTCCATCCTGCGTTACTTCCATCCATTAAGCGCCTTCGAGCAGTGGCGCTGGGTTGCCAAGCGCGAAGCCTACAGGGCGACTTGGTTCGACTGGCTCAACCAACCCGCGCAACAGTTTGATTTCATCCTGGGTCCGGCAAACGCGACCCCAGCCCTGCCGCACGGCTGCATGAAGGAGGCGGTGAGCAGCTGCGGGTACACGTTTTTGTGGAATCTCTTGGACTACTCGGCCGGTATCATACCCGTTGCAAAGGTGGACAAAGAAAAGGACGCTCTGCCCAAGGGGTTCAGGCCTTCGAACGGAATCGAGAAGGGTGCGTACAAGTACTACGACAGTGCAAAGATGGCGGGTCTTCCGATCGCGGTACAGATCGTCGGACGACGACTGACGGAGGAGAAGGTGTTGGGGTACATGCAAGTAGTGACGGATGCCCTGAGAGGCAGTGGAACAGTCTACGAGCATTTGGACGTCGACAACCTCCCAGAGATTGACGAGCTGGAACGGGGAAGCAGCAAGAAGATCCCTGTCGATCCCAAGAAGATCTGGTAGGTTCTGACCCTGTAGTGCGTCGATCGAAAGTATCAATTCGACACGGAAAGAGATGGTAGAGGATTAAGAAAGAAGAAAAGGATGAGGAAGATCGATCTCTTGTATATACATATGTGTTGTATATACGACGTATGTATGTATCCATGTATCCATGCATCATGCATCGTGCATAAACGAATGAATGGATTGCCAAACAGCCTGGACCTGCAGAAAATTTACAACATTGTTCCAGATAAATTACATATATATATACATGTGCCGGGTACACTTGCTTGGCATCAAAGGAAAAAAAGAATGTGTGGTATAGTATTACCTAGAAACCATAGAGCATGGCATTTCGCGAGCCAGGTTCTATGTATACATATGCACGGCAATCGATTGGTTGGCAAAGTGTCATCCATGTCTACCTGTCCCTGTTCACCTGTGCCATACTAGACCAGACCAGACCAGGCCGATCGATATTACGTTTATGTAATATAATAAAATGCATCTATTCTACAAGCTACATGCCACACAAGGGCCAAGGGCCAAGGGGCTCTGCGTCTTCGAGATGAGAGAGAAGACGATAAACTCGGTCAACTTCGTTCCAGCGGGTCTGTTCTTCAGCGTACTCCCTGGACTCTGGCTAGCTAATTAGGTAGCTGTCTTTGGCGAGCAAATGGTTCCCTCAGGCGGTCTCGGCGTCCTTTGCAGGGTCTACCTCCTCAGAGGGGCCAGCCTCAGAAGACTCAGCTCCATTAGAAACCATGGAGTGGACTTTGGGCGTGATGTGGATGCTGCCGGATTGAGTATAAGTCTCGCTTGGTGGACCGACGGCGCGGACGACCACGGTTTTCTGGACCAGGTCGACGAGTTCCAGTTTCACCGGCAAAAAGGAACGATACTTGACGCCCTTTTCCCACCCCTCATTCGAGGCCAGAATGACCGCGTAGACATTGAAAGGGAGGAGGACGCCTCTGAGCCCGCTGTCGTCAGGTCGAGTGTGGGTGGAATTGACAGAGGTCACGTTCACATCCCACACCTCTGGGAGTTCTGCCTCCCTGAAGTGGAATGCGCGGAATAGTGCTTGCGTGATCCAGTGCTTTCTCTCGTTGCGCGAGATCTCACGTGCCCATTCGTACATTCTGGGCGAATGCTCGACTATGAACTTGTCCACCAGCTCCTTTGAGATGGGCAAGTTCACCTTGTCGCCCGGATCGCCCGGCTGGATAGCGCCACTCGCTTCGGCACGGAGGTAGGCATCGGCCTGCCAGTGGGCCATCAAGTCGGGATAGCGTCGAAGAGGATTGCTGAACCACAAATGGACTTGATGGCTTTTGTGGACATGTGGTATGGGTGAGGACGATAGCTTGCCGGACGGATACTCTGCATGTTCACCGCGCCCCAGTTTATTGAGCTTCGAGGGGGGAAAGTCTGCAGCGTACGAGGATCCGAAGAAACACGCAGGGAGCTTCCGGTCCTGAAACCACTTGCCAGCCGACTCTGCAACCAGGTCTCCACATAAGGCTGTCAACGTAACGTACTGCGGCATTTCTTTGACCCGATTCAATCGCATGTAGCGCGACACAGTGATTCTAATTGCAGGATCGCCCTGATATTGCTGGCTTCGGAATAAACTGTCTTCGTCAAATCGGCTGCCCGTTATGTGAACGTAACTTTGAGTCGAGAGGCTCCCCTGCACTTCCCAATCCGGCGCCACGGCCACACTTCTTCGGCGACTCTCCTCTCGCGCGAGGAGGTACTTCTCAAGTCTTTGAAGATCGTCGAGGTACGCCTGGGCTTTTTCGATATCTGCCGGTGCTGCTTGTTGCAAAGATTTAGGCGGTAGTCCAGCTTGGGGCCCTAATGAAAGAGTGGCGGCTTCGTATTCGGGTTTCCCAAGAACCTGTTCCACTGCAGCATTGGTGAGGTGTATCACATTTCTAAGCGTGGTCGGCCGAATCTGAATGTCTTTGACATCACCATCTTCCGTGATAAGAGTGCTGACGGTGATGGCTGGCGAACCAGAGCGCAGGGAAAGTGCTCGTGTGAAGCTGTCGGGGACCATACGTGCAACGTACGTGTTATGAAAGACACTCGCGGTAAGTTTCAGGGCACGCTGTGCTATGATGTGATCTGGGTCAATGAATGCCGTAGGGTGCGACACATGGCCATGTATCCAGTATGCACCTGGGATCTCGCTGCTAAGGCCGATCGAGAAACCGTCTTCTCTGATGTTTGTTTCGCCAGCGTCGATGCAATAAACCGGCAGATGGTCAAAATCTTGTCTCAGAGATGCCATGGAGTCTACGAGCAGACCATGATCGAGTGACTTGCTCAGACCTGAGTCGTGACAGAAACGGTCAGCCTCGTCATAGATGCGCGTCAGCTCGTGACTACCTCTGCCGCCTGGGATCTCGAGCGTCACATTGTGGTCGGAACGAAGAAACCATGGCGGTAGGGTACCCAACTCTTGCAGCAGAAGGCAACCCATGTTTTGGTCGAGGCGAAGCTTGGGGTATGCGCCGATAGCTCGGAGGATCAAAGAAGCGATGGCAAG